TACTAGCCCGCCCCAAGTTCGCCCTCCCAGTAGCCTGCGGCATCAACTTATTAGCCGCAGGCTGAACACCAAACCTCACCGGCGGCGGCGGCCCAGTCTTCTGCGGAACCAGCGGCGCAGCAGGACCGAAAACCCCACCCGTCTGCTGAGGCGGAAGTTGCGGCACAGGCGGAGGAGGAGGTTGTTGGGCGTATTGCTGTTGTTGTTGGCCGCCGAAACCGTTGAGACCGGTAGGCTGCGAGATATTGAAATTGGGTTGCTGTTGTTGCTGGAAACCAGTCTGTTGCTGGAACCCAGTCTGTTGCGGCTGTGGCGCGAATTGATTCTGCAACCCCGAAGGCAAAGCCTGAAACGGCATCCTCGGCGGATCCGCAAACGGCGACCCAGTCGAACTCCCATTCACCATAGCCTGCCCAAAACCAGTCTGCTGAGGTACCTGCTGCTGAAACCCCTGCTGCTGCGCAAACCCTTGCGGCTGCATCCCCATACCCATCTGCTGAGGTTGCTGCAGAGGAACCCCATACTGCTGCCCAACCACCACCTGCCCAAACTGACTCTGCGGCGCAAAAGCCATCCCCGTAGGCTGTGGCTGCAACGCAGGAAAACTCTGCTGCATAGACTGCACCCCCGTCATCTGAGGCTGCTGAAACCCACCTCCCATCCCCATCTGCTGTTGTTGAGGATTAAACCCAGTCTGCTGTCCATAAACCCCCATTCCCATCCCCTGCTGCGCCTGAGACTGAGGCTGATACCCAGTCAACTGCGGCTGCAACGCCAACGGCCCAAATTGTCCCCCATTAACACCCTGCTGAGGATTGAAACCCGGTGCGCTCGCCGCTCGTGGCGGGGGCGCCAGCCCCGTCCCACCGGATTGCTGGAGCTGTGTGATAGCAGGAGGCTGTGGCCTTTGTCTCGCTGGCGCCAACGCAGCAATCTTATCAAAGAGCGCTTGGTCAGCGCCTTGCTGCTGCTGAGGCGCGGCAGGAGGTGGAGCTTGTTGTTGCTGCTGCGGCTGCTGAACAGGAGCCGGTGCCTGCACCTGTACTGGCGGTGATGCCACAGTCCCAGTAACCGCAGGCTGCAACGGCATAGCCAGCAACGCGAGATCATCATTCAACTTCGGCAGCTGCTGCACCTCCATAGCCTTAGGCGCCTCAGCACTAAACCCCTGTCCCTGCACAGCAGCCATAGCCTGAGTCCTAGCGGGCTTGACATCCCACGCATCGTCCTCAAACCCCCCTCCAGCACCCGTAGCCTGTCTCGCCGGAGCCCCCGCCAGCGGCGTAGCCCTCGACTCAGCAGGAGCCTGTCTCTGCGAAATCTCCTCTTTAGGTCTGAAAGCACTCTCATCCACAACATCATTCGCCAACACCGGCGGCGCCGGCCTCCCCTTCCTAGCAGTATTATTCCTCAAAACCCCATCCTTCCCCGAAAACAACCCCCCCGCACTCCCATTAACAGGCAGTATACTATCATCCTGCTGCCCTCCCATCCCCCCGGGACTCGGCCCCGCCAAACCCCCCGTCACCCCCCTCCCAAACTTCTTATCCAAAAACTTCATAACCCTCAAAATATCCCCCTCCTTCAACCCCAAAGTCCTCAACAACTGCTCATTAACATCCGGCAGCACCTCGACCCCCATCTGATCCCTCGCAAAAGCACCAGCATACCTCTCACAAATCTGCGGATTAACCCCACACCCCAGAAAAAAATCAAACCAATCATACCCATTCCCCTCCACCACACTAGCCCCCGCCCCACCCCCAGCAGACTTCCTAACATTCGTCTTACTACTATCCCTCCCCCCCTCCTCATCCCTCTTCCTCAGCCGTTCAGTATTCCTCCTCTTAATCTCACTCAAAGGCTTATCCTCATCCAAACTCTTCCCCGTCTTCTCCTCAACGTACTCAAGGTCTTCGACAGCCATCTTATTGACCGGCACAGCGATCTTAACCCCATTCGTCTTATGCAAATGGATCTTCCCCTCCCTCAACCCAATGAACTCGGCCTCCACCTTAAACGTCCCACTCCGATCCGTCCACGTCCTCAACCTGTCAGCCTTGGGTTTACTCTTCGCAGGCGCCGAGTCCGTAGTCCCTGACCCCTGTCTCGCAGACCCCGAAGAGCGTTGCGGCTGACTCCTCCTCTGCCCTCTCTCCCCTCCATCCTCAGCCAAACTCGAGCCCCGTGCCGGCACCCCACCATCCCTCTTCCCACTCCCTCCCGCAGCCTGTTTCGCCAACCGTTCTTCCTCTGATCGATTAAATTCCACCGTATTTCTCGCCGCGTGGAGCCCTGTGACACCTTCCCCTCCCCCCTCCACCCGTCCGATAACCTCCACATAACTACTCGGCACAACCCCCTCCCTCCCATTCTTCAACCTCCTCACCTTCCACCACTCCTCACTCCCCTTATCATCAAGCACCAACACCTCATCATCAACCGCCACAGTAACCTCATCATCCCCCTGCGCCATAAACTCATACAACATCCTCCCCCTCTTCTTCCCCTTCCCCCCCGTCCCCGTCTCCGCAGCCTCAAGAACCTCGCCCATCCCCCCACCGCCTCTAGTCCACCCCGCCAATTCCCCCAACATCCCCACAATCTCCCTCGCCGTATCCTTAGCCCCTGCATGAAAATCCACACTCCTCGACGGCCTAACCAACTCAACAAAAACATGTTTCCCCTCAATAGAATAATGCGTCAGCTTCTCCGCCGTCCACTCCTGCGTCGGCCCATCCTTGGCCTTCTCCGGCGCAATCGTGATCAAACCCCTCGGAATATTGATCCCGAGCACGGTAGGCAATTTCTTGTTCTTCCCAATATGACTGATGGTCTCGTGGATATTGTAGAGATGAAACGCGCCCGAAGGACTATTGGCTAGACGGGAGGGCGTGAATTGTTGGGAGGGGTTTTCGTAATCGTCGTCGGCTGGGGGCGCGAAGCCGGGGGGGGTGTAGGAGGAGATCTGCCGCGGAGATTGGGTCTGAGACGCGATCCGCGGTGTTGGTTGAGGCGTCTGCTGAGATCTCGGGCGCGTAGGCATTGGTGGCGGTGGCTCGTCGTCGTCGCTTTGGTCGGGGGTGTATTGGGGTCGTGATCGGGAGGGCAAGGGAGGGGAGGCTAGAGCGCGGTCGGAGGAAGGGGATTGGTGGCCTGTACGTTGGGCGATGATGGCTGCGAGGCCCGCGGCGGGGTTGTGCTGTTGTTGCGTTGGGTCGGGGGAAGGAGAGGGGCCTAGTCCAGGGTCCGGGTAATCTGCTTCCCCTGGTATTGCTTCTTCCGCGGCAGGGCGAGAGCGTATAGGCATTGAGGGCGGTGGAGCCAGTTCTCTTTGCGTGGACATTACCGGCGCCTGTGTCTGTGCTGTCGATTCTTCCCGTTCCAAATAATTACTAGGCGCGAACCCGTACCCCCCCTTCCCTCCCTCAACCCCAACAAGCATCCAATCCGGATCCCCATCATCATAACACTCCAGCTTCCCACCTTCCTCAAACCCCACTTCCTCATCCGTCTGCGGGGAGTAATCATACAGCGCTTTCACACCATACAATGCTCCCACTTTCTCCACGTAATTATTCGGTACCAATCCCTCGGGCTCATCATCGTCCTCATTGGCGGCCTTCTTCTTGCATCGCCACCAGTCGTCCGTGCTGGATTTCTCGAGGATGAAGAGTAAGTCGCCTTCGAGCAGGGCGAGCTCTTCGGGGGATTGGGGCGTGTAGGCGTAGAGGGCGCGGGAGATGTCTAGGAAGGGCATGCTGGCATTGATTTGGGCGGAGAGGAGGGGATCTCTGGTGTGCGCCGGGTGGAGGTGGTGTGTTTGGGGTTGGGGGGTTGGATGGTGGATGTTGGCGGCGGGTGTATGTCATCTCCGCATTGGCCGGGTCAGAGCGTAGGGCTGAGTATGGGGTGGCTTCACTTCACTGGAGAGGTTGTGTACATTAAGGTTCTACGATTTTGTTTGGGTGTCTGAGTATGCCCAAGACTGCGTACAGCAACAAAGGCAAGCCACAGCCTCAGACCGTGATCCGGCGCCCAGAAGCGGTGGATACATACTACTCCTCCAAAACCACTGCCGAAGCCTGGGCCGAGCTTGAACGTGGCGCTACATCCCAGCGTTCACGACAACGAGAGCTTTCGCATATCGGTCGTATTGAGGAGACAGATTCCGGCGAGGCGGCGGCAGAAAGATGCGAACAGTGCGCCAAGAAGGAGTTGCAGTGCAAAGTGTACACCGAAGCTGGCAGGGAACGATACCATGTCAAGAGATCGGGGTACAGCTGCTCAAGATTTCGTTGGCATGGAGGAGGGTGCTCGCATCAGCGGGATGCTGATGCTGCTATAGGGGGCGTGAAGAGGAGGAGGACGATGGCGGATGCGGATGCTGAGATTGCTGTGTTGAAGAGGGAGAAGATTGAGTTGGAAGACACGGTTGCCGAGCTGAAGGCGAGTCTGGAACTGTATCAGGAGCAGGGTGAGGGCTTTGATGGATTCAATGACAGTGATGCTGCAAGTGACGAGGACGTCATCGTCGTATCGAGGCCCAAGTCCACTATCTCATATACCTCTCGTTGAGTCCCAGCAAACCTCATACTACCTGCTCTCGTTGCCGCTTCTGCTCCGATACCACCCACCCTTCTTCGTCGCCTGATCGCTCACTGTCCAGCAACGACTGACTGGCAAGTCCTCATACAGCACGGCGAAGCAGTACTTCTCTTCCTCAGTGAAGAGAGTGCAAGTGCAGGCACAGAAAGCCCATGCAGCAATCAAAAAGCACAAATTTCGGCAGGTTTGGGCCTAGCTTGGAAACTGCTGGGCTGCCTTCTGTTCAACCATCTGCTCTTCGACCAAAGATGAGCTTCAAGGGCCGCGAGTAGTAATGGGTTTCCTTGCCAACAGGAGTGTGCTGTATTGCTCACCACACCATGCCACGTACGGTTTTGCGAGTACTGAACATGACTGGATCGACAGTGGCAAGAGAAGAGGATTAAGATATTTGGACGAAGGCGGAGTCGAACCACCATCACACGGTGAAGACGCCAATCGCCGTGCGGCCTGATTGGAGATCACCGGTATCTTATCCATTGAGACCACTCGCCCCGGTTGCGCAGCTGTGGGAGTACGTCTTTATAGCCCACACGAAGCCGACCGTGGATCTGCCGGTGCTGCAGTGAAGCAACTGGTGTGCAGATTGAGGTTTGAGCCAAAAAGGTATTGTTCATGAATGACAATAGTTGGACGAAGGCGGAGTCGAACCACCATCACATCAGGAGACACTAATTCGCCTTCTCGGCATTGAAGAAACGACCCTGTGTATCTTACCATTGAGACCATACGCCCCGTTTGAGCGAAGACTGCTCATTACAGCATATATACTGCACAATGAGGGCCGTAGATGTACCGGCAATGGAGTGAGGGTAAGTGAGGATATTCGGGCAAGGAGGTGAATGTGAGACAAAGCTTTTGCTTACTGGTAGCGTTGGAAGGACTGCTGCTTTGCTTGCGCATCTCCTTTCTCAACGGCACTTCAGCTACTCGTTCACGGTAATGGTAATGGAACCGGCTAGATTGACGATCTTGGAGTGTGTTTCGTAAAGTACGAGAAGCTTCTTGAGGAGGCTAAAGCGGTGGGAGTCACTTTGTTGCAGTCCGCACGGCCGGATTGCGATTGCATCGAGCATGGCGAGCAAGCAGAAGGTATCAATTGCAGCACGTTCAAGACAACGATGTGGTGAGTGACGATTCCACCTGCATAAGTTTCTGAGTTTAAACAGCCGAAGGAGTGGCGGCATCAACGCGTGGCGATCGATGTCGGTGAATGGAGTGAACAGGACTCCGCACCATACGACTCTGGTCGCAGGTAATAGATGCGCAGTTGTCGAGGATCTTGGATCTTGCAATGTCGGACACACCCAGATCTGGCTCTGCCATACGACTTGAGTCGATCGCGCAGATCCGATGTTCACATAAGTACATGCATTCACCATCGCTCCTTCCCCATTCATCAACTGAAGAGCCGCGCGGTTGCCTCGACAACACTTTGCTCAAGATGTCCAGAATGAACGACTCGCAGAGACTTCCACCGACCAAGCAAAACGAAATGTAAGTTGGGTGCGACGTTTGGATGCGTGCGACAATCATCTCAAGAGCCGCGAATGCCGGCAAGTTGCGAGTGCTGACTGCAGCATGCTGTCTCAACACAACTGGCACGAAGAGATGTCGTAGCAAGCCTTCACCCTTTCGAATGTTTGCACCCATCTCTCAGGACTCGCGAGTGTCGGCGAGCTGCGGTTGTCGACTACAGTACGCCATGCCAACATGACCGCAGAGAGATGTCTCACAGCCAGGCCACGCTCTTTTCACTGTTTGACACACCCGCTAACCCAACATCTATCGCTTTTAGGCTCGAAGAAGAAAGAACGACGCTTCTCGCGAGCTTCCACGACGCACTGCCCAATGCTCGCCAGGTAAGCACCTCTGATGCGTGCGATATCTCTCAAGACCGCCGAGTGTCAACAAGCTGCCACCGTTGCTTACAGCTTGCCGTCCTCGGTAACGTTCAGTGAGAGGTCTCGCAGCCAGGCTAACCTTCACACCCATTGCTACTAGGTCAGCCTCACCATCGACGGGACACTCGTCCACGGCGCACTGCACTTCGTCTCCTCTTCGGACTACTTCGAAAAGCACTTCTGCCGCTTCTTCGACATCCCGCCGTCCACTACACACTCTTTCGCAGTTGTCGAGAAGGCACATAATGCTGTTATGATAGCCCACCCTACCATGGGCGTCAGTTGGAGTATTGCCGCGGACTTCCCGACCATTACACAAAGTTTCGTGGCAGTCACAGATGAAATAGATGCTTTCAGAGACACAGAGGAGCTGGGGACGTTCAGCTGCAAAGGCGATGTAAGTAAGCCAATCTAGCTTTTAAGAACTCCGCCGCTAATCCTGCCACCCATCGCTTTTAGTTCACACCAGCCACTACAGCTTTAGAGGATGTTATCCTGGCTTTTCCCTCCCAGCGACCCCTCGCCACCGAATATTTCAAGGCTGGTCGGGTGCGCGTTGAGGTGCACACCTACCCTCCCACCCCTGTGCCTCGCAACGTCCTCGAAACCATCGACCGTAAGTGAGCTGATGGCTGCATGACAGTCTCGGAGCGGCCAAATGCTTCACAGCAGCTATATTTGACTCGCTATATCCGAGACCAGGTATCAAACAACGAGCTAACCCTACACCCATCTCTTCTAGGTCTCCAAACCGACGCCGCGAAACCCCACTACTGCAACAAATCCGGCGAGATCTCCAAGAACTTCGTCAAAAATCAGTGTCGCGATCTCCTGGACGACGACCACTCCTACACCCTCTCTCGCCGGAACGCACTATACCCTCATCGCAACAATCTCGCGATTCTGAATGAAGAACTGGGAGGTGATGTGTGTGTCTAAAATGAAAGATGCCAAGGTTGAGGCGATGCCGGAGATGTACAGCAGGTATCCCGTTGAGGATTTGAGGGAGAGGAAGAGGTGGGGGGTGGGGGATGATAGGTTGGTGGAAGGTACTTATTTGGTGGGGATTCAGGAGCAGATGGAGGCGGAGGCGGAGGTGAGGGCGATGGAGATGATGTTGGCGAAGCCCATGACGAACGAGCAGAGGGCTGAAGCGTTGAGTGGGGAGAGGTGGTTGCATTATCTGATGCATTGAGGACGATCATGTACGAGGAGCTGAGGCGGGATGCGGAGGGTGGTGTGCTGGCTTTTGCTGCGGAGATGATGATGATACCCCTTCTGTGCGTGCATGCTTGTAAAGGCAGCAAATACTCCCGAAAGCGTACCTTGATGCATAGGACAACGCCCCCTCATCACCGCGCGTGCCACGATGCATGTATGTGCGCCTCGGTGAGCATATATCGATTGCTTCGATGGGAGATATCTGACATGCCGCACAGCGCTTTTGGATCGATCATGGAGCTTCGAAGCCACGCACGCCGAACCTTGCTACTACCAAGACCGTTTTCCTCCTATGCGAGGATAGTAAGCCACAACAATGCGGTCTCGGGCACACTTCTTGCCACTCATGTGCACGGTGGCTTGGGCAGCTCATACACCGCTTTGCTGTAGTTCCGATCCCACGTTGAATTCTCAGCATGGGAATGTGGCCCAGAGAAAGGCGTGACATATCTAAGGTACCCACCGAGCCACTTCTCGATCAACTCGCCGACAACGATGTCGACGGAGCATCACACCTTGACAAAAACGTTGACTCTAGCATGTAATTCATGCGCGTTCGGGCAACTATACTCACTACTTCCACAAGCTCCAGCTTCACAAGCACACCGCACCCAGCATCGCATTATCCGTCTACCCGAACACGACCATCTTTCCACTACCCACAGCTCAAATTGACAGGCGGGTGAACGATGTGAAACTGAGACCTTGCCAAGGGTCAGCCGACCGTGAAAACGCCATCAACCAACAGTCCACAGAAGGGCAGCCAATAGTGAACGGCACTAGCTACACGCCTGACGCATTGTGGTTCCGTTGGCATAAACGAGACGCAACCGATGATGCTTTTGAGCTTGATTCGAAATGATATAAGCAACACCTGCATTCATACATGAGGAGCGACGAAACTTCATTGACCTACCATTGACTCATGCTCGTTCCTTGGCCGTCTCCGCGAACCATACCCAGACTCCGAGCAGTACTGCCCCAGCTCTGCCACATGCTGGAAGCTACAAGGTATGTTGAAGCCATCCGTATAGCGCTCAACGCGAGGTAATGTCATCACCCACTCTTCAGTCCCGGGTCCCGATGGCCGTGTGCCAATAGGCCAGTGGTCCTGATCTTTTAGGTTACGGAGGAGTTGATGCGTTCTACCAGGGGTGGAAGATATGTTTGTGAGCACCCTTGAGCCATTGTTCGCCGGCTGCTCGGTAGTGTGCTCACGCTCTCTGATGATTACCGCATCTGACCCCAAGCATAGGACTACCGGAATGTGAGGCTCGGTAGACGTGATTTCACACTTAAAGGATCGATCAAACGCTGTCGCATCATTCGTTGTAGCAGCGAAATTGTTCAGCCAGAGATATTAGTACCCCTCGTAGTCCAGGCGTCTCCGCAAACACGGCAGTGTTCGCTCGATTGTCACGTCAAGAATATCAATCAGCTGGAGCAACTGATCCAGACTGTCGTACGGTGCATGGCGGGGCGTAAATTCATCGTGAGTCTGACCAAATATGATCGCATCGCAGACTGCGTCTTCGAGTTCGCTGCCATAATCGACCTGGAAGACGAAGCCTCCTTGGACCATACCTAGCACCGCATGGACATGGTCGCGAGGATCCGAACACTGCCGACTCCCAGTAAATATTATTTGATTAATTAGTGTAAGGTCTCTCAGCCAAAAGTGCACGATTTGGAAACCATTCGACTTATTGGCGAGAAGCTGGGCGCCGTTGCTCGGATTGTCGGATTGGGCCACGGTCGACCACAATTGCACAAGCTCTCTCGCAGGCAGCAGCTCGGAGCCTGATATAATGTATGCCTTGGGAGCAAGACAGATTTCCTGAACAATCCAGAGCCGGTTCCAGTAGGGGTGTTGTAAGATCTGCAAGATACTATCCTCGATGATGGGACCAGTATGATCGTTGATGCCGAGATTTGCGCATAATCGGGTCATGTATTCTTCGTTTTTGACACGTTGTCCGCGGTCAGTAGCTGCTCCATCTACCCCGGGTACCTGTGAGCGTGTCATAGCCATGTCTTCGCCAGCGCTACTCCTTCTTGCTTCGAGTTGTGCTTCGCGCCATCCTTTCCACATGCCACACTGCACAGCATTGAGCGACGTACGCTCGCTCACTGCATCCAGCCAAATTAGAACGCAGCGAGCGTTGCTATAGACAGCACCCATACGACGGACTTGTTTGTTCCGTTCGCGTACATTGCTCTGGTCGATACAGATACTATCGATCCATTTCTCTGCATGCTGAGCTACAGAGGGCGACCGTGGAGCGAAGGTGATTGGACTACCGTATGGTAGCATGTCTCGAAAGTGCACCAGAAATTGGTAGATGTTGTCCCGAACCTGTAACGTTCGCCCGTCTACATAGACGTCGTGTGTATTGTTTGCTGGGCCCCACACGTATGATATGGCATCGTACTGCCCTTTCTGCTCATCCAGCCTCGCTTCACGCAGTCGCAATTCAATGGGGCTGCCTTGGGGTCCCGGCAGGATAGTGAGCAGACGAATGCTACTGTCTGACTCATTTAGCTCCTGGTACTGATATTCCTGGTGTGCCATATTAGCTATGGGTCCTCGTCGAAGAAGGATTTGTGAATGCAACGTCAAGCTCATATGCGAAAAGCCATCGGGCTGAGATGGGGCTCAGACAACGCATCCTCAGCCTTGTCTGGTACCGAAGCTGTAATCACATCTCGCCAATCAACAGTAATTCAATCTCTCTCGCGAGTAAGTCTTCGAAAGCAGTGGATTCAAGTACGCATTCCTACGCTGTTGATCAACTAGTGTTGTTGAGCATATTCAGGGGCATGCTAAGCTCAGCGCTTTACCGGTCATCCTGCACAATTTAGCCCCAAGCGTCGTGATGCGGTCGTGAGGCCGGCAAACATGGCCACTCACGCGTGGTGAACGAAGTGGCGTGAAGCGTGGCCTGAGACACCTCTGCCGCTCCATTGTTGACATTGCGGGGCAATTTTAGAGTTTCATAAGGCTGCGTAACACAACTTACGTCACGAGGACACGCAGATGCCAAACGCTCAACACACTTTCGCCTTCGCTTGAGCCTTCGACATCAACCAAGCAAACGCACTTACACAATCAAGTCAGCTGAAACAACCACTCACACTCATCCACAACCACAACAGCAGCCATGGATCCTTCCACGCAGAAGGTCCGGCCTATCTCGCTCGCGTGATCGCAATCCAGTATTGACGTGTCAGCAGACCATCATCTACGGTGTCAGTGCCGTCGTACTTGGCTATGCCGCATACCAGGTCTATATCTCCATGACTGCGAGCTCTTCCAGCCCAGCAGCTGCCAGCTCCCAGCCTTCCCGCGCAAGTGTAGCATCGAAGAAGCCAGCATACACTCCGAAACCAAAATACACTCCGAAGGGCGGTACGGTAGCTCACTGTAGTATTCCTAGGCCATGCACTGATCTCCTTCTCTAGATGCCACAACCTGGTCTGAGGATGATATGGTGAAATTCTTGGAGTCGGTGCGTGGTTCCAGCTTGTGAGATTCGAGCTCGCTCCAAACTGACAATACTCCTAGCGCGACATGGGTGTAGGCCTCGAGCACTCCTCCAAACAGGAGTTACTCGCCATGGTCGAGTCCAAGCTCCATGAGCCCACCAACACCGGGTCCGGCTTCGACGATCCTCAAGAGTGGTCATCGGAGGATTTGAAGGAGTACTTGCGCTCGGTATGTGACTCTACTCTTCCCTTCGTTGATGTAAGACTGATATTGGTTCCGCAGAACAACCTCGCCGTTGGGTCAAACCCGTCGAGGATGGAGCTTGTGGCGATGGTTGAGGCGAAGATGCATGCACCGCAGTGAGTATGTTTCCGCTCCTCGGGCAGTATCTTGGGGTGTCAGGCATTTGCGGCCGCAGAGCATAGGCATGGCAGCGAGGAGGCGTACTGGATACTGCTGCAACACACAGCTTCGGGAGCACTAGAACTCGACGGGTGTCGAACGGGCGGGTGCATTCGGTCTGTCCATCAGCATGTATTATGAATTGAAGGCGTAAGATTGTATTCGAAGCAGCTTCCACTTTGCATTGCTTCCATGAGTGTGATTGCTTGAGCTAAACATATGGAATTATGTCATTGTTCCTGCGTCTGAATGGGCCAAAACAGTAGCATGTTGAGACATGTAGTTGTTCAAGGCATGTAGTCGCAAGGCTGCGGATGGGTTGAGCTCTCGTTGATCACCCCCTATATATGTCTTGGCGATGGTGCGGGAGTGCGGGAGGAATCCTTCTCAGCTCACTTCTCCTTTCGCTTCTCCATCCTTCAACAGATGACGGGATGCGCTCAGGTCTGTCACCTCCTCACGGTACAATTTGGCGCAGGCTGCGATGCTTCTCCTTCACCATCCGAATTATTGACGAACCTGCCACTTCGGCTCGACCCATGTCTCCACCTGCATACGGCTAAAGATGCAGATCACTATGGTTGAATCGGGCTCTTGACCAGCTTTCATCCTCCTCGCCTGTCTCTGTTTGTACAAGTAGGGATACCAAGTTCTCGGTCATCCATCCACTCTAACGGCCACGATGCGCTCTGTATTGCACATGCTGGGTACTGCTCTGCTGTACCTCACCCCTACTACCGCCGCGCTTAACATTCTGCCTGGCCGTGATTCGAGTAATGGAACTGACACGACCTGCTATGACTTCGTAGGCTTTGTCATATTCGCGCGAACATCCACTTACTAACGCACGAGAAAACAAGATTGTCGTGGGCGGAGGCACCGCAGGCAACACCGTAGCCGCCCGCCTTAGCCAGTACCTGCCAAACTCGAGCGTGCTGGTCATCGAAGCTGGCCCTTACGCCCCTGACGAAGACCGTATCAACGTCCCGGGACTCAAGGGTACCACGCTGGGCACGAAGTACGACTGGAACTTTACGTCTATTCCGCAGCCGCAACTTTTCAACCGGACTATCACACAGAACAGAGGCAAGGTGCTAGGTGGCAGCTCTGCGCTGAATCTGCTGATCTGGGACCGCGGTTCTAAGGCAGAATACGATGCGTGGGGTGAGGTCGGTAATCCAGGCTGGAATTGGGAGTCGATGGACGCTGCAATGTGAGTGGAGTTAATGAGACCATGTTCATCTACACTACTAACATTCCTACCTCACCTACCAGGAGCAAAGCCGAAAACTTCTCCAACCCGGGCCCACCAATATATACCGGGTCCACAGGCTATGGTGTTGCTGGCCCTATCAATGCCGTGATCAACAAATTCATCCCAGCCCAACAAAACCCCTGGATCCCAACACTCGAGAACCTGGGCGTGCCATTGAACTCCGAATGGCTCAGTGGGGAGAACGTAGGCGTAGCTTACCACGCCAGCTCGATCGATCCAGCTCATTACAATCGCTCATACAGTGCAGTCGAATACCTACCACGCGGTGGACCCAATCTGAAGGTCTGGACCAACACCGAAGTGGCCAGAGTCAATCTCGTGAAGCAAGATGGCTGCTACTTGGCCACGGGTGTGACGCTCTTGGACGGTAGCGTCGTCAATACTCGAAAGGAAGTCATAGTGTCGGGTGGCACAATCAAGAACCCGCAGATCCTTGAGCTTTCTGGCATCGGTAGTAGCGCCACTCTTGCTGCAGCCGGAATAGCGCAGAAGATTGATCTGCCTGGTGTGGGAGAGAACTTACAGGACCACCCGCGCATCCAGGCATCGTACCAGCTCAAGTCTAACTACACGTCTTTCGACAGATTGAGGCATGACCCACCGTATGCTGCAGCACAACTGGCGTTGTGGGTGGCTGGCAACCTTACAGCTTACGATTACGCAGCCAGTGCCTACTCTTATCAAAGCTGGTCTTCGATCGTTGGTAACGATAGCACACTGGTCGAAGCTGCGAAGTCTGTTATTGCCACGACCGAGAACAACGTCGTCGACAAGAAGAAGCTGGAGTTCTTGACCAGCGCCAAGTACAGCAAAACCATTGCACAGGCCGAGCTTGTGCTATCCGACGGTTTCACCGGAACGAAAGGGTATCCGGCTGCCAATAGCACATTGTTCGGAGCCGGCTTCGAGACAATTATCGGGGCCTTAATGCATCCTCTCGCGCGTGGGTATGTGCATATCAAGTCGGACAACGCTTCCGAGCACCCTGCCTACAACCCGGCCTTTGCGAGTAACGAGTACGACCTTCAGGGGCTCATCGCGATCGCAAAGTACATCCGCAAAGTTGCGACAACAGCACCATTCTCGGACGCTTGGGTCACAGAGTACGAGCCTGGCTTTGACGTCGTGCAGACGGAGGAGCAGTGGGAGACATATGTCCTGAACAACACCCAGCCATTTTATCATCCAGTGGGCACTTGTGCTATGCTGCCGCGGAGTGATGGAGGAGTTGTAAGCCCGAAGCTGATGGTCTACGATACGACGAACCTTCGAGTGGTTGATGCAAGCATTATACCCATCCTAGTTTCGGCGCATCCTCAGACAGGGATATATGGTCTCGCAGAACGAGCGGCCGAGATCATAGCCGCTCGCTGGGCGTGATCTGGAGGGAGCTCTCGTGGTGTCTGTAAACACAGTATTCAGGAATTGGCGTTGCTTTGTCCCTTGGCCATTGACATCTGCAAGAAAACTGTCACGGCGAAAGCGTAACGGGACGAGTATCGTGACCAGTTGCACACATGCAATAGATGATCCGGTATATTCATGTATGTATTATCCCTTCCATTCGCGTCGTGGCAACGTGGTTGCTGATTAAGGGTGCGGTGCGGCTTCGCGGGAGATGGTTCTTGGCGGTCGACCTCACTTCACTCTCTTCGATTTACATACCCTTCACAAATGTCCAACATACATCGATGACGGCTCCGAGATACCTTTCGACTCTCACACGGATTCACTACTCATTGTTTTCCATCTGTCGTTGACCACCAATGTCCGCCTCACATCCATCCTCGTGCCGCACAATCCTACCTGCTCCTTGGTTCGCCCATACCAACAAGAAAGACACACAAAGCATGCAGAAAGACCTCCAGCAGTAGCGTATACACTCTTCATCCACATGTCTGCATTGGTGCGCTTAGATGAATGGCACATAACAGGAAATGGCTTGACCACGCTCGAACCACGCCCAAGCCGAAGATCTGCCGTAAGCAGTATATAAATTCATATCATTTTTGGCTGTTATAACACAACCAATCAGGTTCTATAGTGAAGTGGTATCATTTCTACCTTATCTTCTGCCCTCAGTTCTCTGCAAGCAATCGATTAGTAGACGACCTAGGTTCGATTCCTAGTAGAACTTCGACCCCATTCATTTGGGTACACAAATCCCATTCTTGGGTGAAAGCACGATTGCGCATGCTATCCTGAGAAGTCGTCTACCACACCGAGAAGGAGGTAGAGGTCCTAGGATGATGGTCCTGCAAGGTTGTTCTTTTTGGCTTTTGCAAGTATTAAGTCTACGCACAACGAATCCAAGCCGCACGACCCTAACCTCTTTTTCTTTTCGCATTCTCCTTGCAAGAACACGCACAGCGGTAACAGCACAGTAGCAGAACAACACCACCATGGCATGGAGACTGTACTATTGCGTGCCCGCCAGCGAACACCACCACATCGAGAAGTTCCTCGCCGACAAACCTGCAGGCTGTGGTGACGACCGTCGCGAGTTCGTCGCGTCGTTCATGAATTGGGCAATAGGACTCTCTCAATCTCTCAAGCAGCTCAAAGGCACAAAGGCCACTATAAGAGCTACTCTACATGATGCGTATCCGGAGCTGAGCGCGTCGAAGTTCATCGATATGTTGGAAATATACGGCAAGACATATCGGCATCATAAGGAGTTTCACAATGGCATTATCAAGGACCCGCACTGTAAGTATCCCAGCCAAGATACATTTCGCGAAGCCTACCCAGGGTTATGCACCGCCATAAAGCACGCGTTACGAAGCAGATATGCTGACTTGCCATCCTAGCCGACGCCGAATGCGAGATCGCCGGCAAGCAGCTTTTTGCGTGCCTACATTCGAGAGATGAGAGAGCCGTTTTCAACGCAGAGCATGGGCCGCACTATCCGCTTGTGCCAGTTGAATCGAATCCTAAGGCATCGAATTGGGAGCACCGAGCAGCGACGAGGCAGGAGAGCACTACTGGGGTGCCATTACGCACTATCGAAGGCGGAGACAGCAACATGGCGGACGCGATGGATGGTTTGGGAATGTCTGGAGATCGGGAGGAAGCTGCTGCTCGCGCAATTGCACGAGCTACTACGGACTACATGGTCGACAACGATATGTGGTAGAATAGCTTCGACGTGATCGCTCTAACCCCCTTCCTAACACTGCTCACTGCTGTCAAACTCGAGTCCAAGATTATCTACGAAGAGACCATGAAACCTGCCGTGGCTGTCGATCAGCGATATGGTGGGATCTCCAATACCCCAGAATACAATCTAAACTACTTTGCGGACCACGGAGAGCAAGATTTGCAAGCCACGCTTGCGCGACATGTTCGTGACTGCTCCGCGACGAGCGAACAAGTACTCAAGGACCTCAGGAACATACAGACGATCATGTGCAACAGGATTGGCGTTGCGAAGGATATCGGACTGCCATCTTTCGCGAGTGGGTCGTCAATGAAGTCGTGAACGAAAGCCACGGGCGTGGTATTCTCACGCTGCTGAACAGGAACTACTGGCAGAACGAGCGTAAACTACGATTCGGTCACATATAACGTGTGGTTGAGTGTTGCTTCCAGCACATTGGTGATCGAAGTCCTCCAAGAGAGCAATATGGTGAAGGGAAATCCTGTCGCCACCGCTACATCGCCGTATAGGCCACAGCATCAGTGCCTCACTTGTCTACACTTCGGCACAAAGAATACGAGCTACGAGTATCCATGGTCGGGGAACGCAAAGCTTGCGAAATATGTTATGTAAGAGCACAGCGCAGGCTGTTTCGGTCCTGGTGAAATAATGTGGTGATCAGCGGCAGGACTCAAGTCTTTGCCACCTAGAGAGCGACATGGCGAACAGGAGAGGATGGCTATAATAATTCGCAGAACGAGACGGCCGAGGTCATAGCGGCTCGCTGGACCCTTGTCCGCCTACAGCGTCTAGCGTAGGAACGGCACTGCATTGGCATCGGGCGGATCTGGCCATACTGAGATATTCACTAAGCATGACAGCAGCTTACCCACATCGTAAGGACGCCAGATAACGCCTTCTTTTTTGCAACTAACAATAGGGTATCATGTTGTGCTTGCCTAACGCCATCAATCCCTTCGCTTCGCTACATCTACCCCTTAAACGCCACCGAACCAGGTGAACTCTAGCGTGAACGCAAGAGAGTATTACTAAGCCACAACTTCGTGTCAAATTCTCTTTGAACGCCTTGTTGCAACACCATACTTCATCAACCATGCTCTCTTTTAGGCTCGATCACCCATTCCAAGTCAAGAGAAGCTATGTGTCCTCCCAAACGCATGACTCTCGCTTATGCAAGACGTTCTACGTATGACATCGCTCTCGACGGCTAGGAACGACCAGCCGCGCGCAACGCACGATCTTCTTGGCCAAACTCCATCCAGCGGCGACCGAGTGTTGTCGAAGGAGCCACGGGTCTTGTGCTGTGCTGTGTGCTGCACGGGATATCGTGTAGTCGTGTTTTGTGCTGTTGATGAGGTCCTCCGTTATGTGTGTTGCGTGCGATGTTGCATGTAAAATGGCCAGCGGGGCATGATGATGAGAGTGAGATTAAGAATAGCGCTGTCCATAGCGCGGAATCGATCAGTGAGTGGTGTGTGCAGGCCATGAGTGCACACCGTTCGCAGCGCATCAATCGACCCCGGAATAGACACGCCCACCTCCCAACAATCTTCCTCGTAGTCATCACCATCGCCACTATTACCACCGTGACACGTCCCCACTCAACCCCCCAAACTCCGCGCTATCCTGCGCACTCCTCCTCAGCTTCCTTCCATAAATCTTCTTCTTATCCTCCCCACCCCAGAACATCCCAAAAGCCTCCGGGTTAACCACGGCTCTCGGATCATATATCGGACTCTCATCTTCCACTGCCGCCACAATACCCTCCAGATGTGACGAAATCTCCCCCTCCTTGATCGGAAAATAACACAGATCCCCACCTCCACTTACCCTATGATGGAAGATCGGAGTCTCGAACCGTACTCGAGGCTGTGCCTCCGGGAAGGTTGGCGGGATGTGAAGCGTCAAGTTCCAGAGTCCGCCGTCGAGGTTAGTCATGGGTTTGCCGAAGAAAGTGAGATTCCACAGGAAAGGGTTAGTCTTATCGGGCAAGCTCAACTCCATCCTCGACCCCGAGTGATTGCTCTCATTCCACTTGTGACTCAGCTGCGTGGACTGGAAAGCCAGCATCGTAGCCAGCTGCCCGTCTTCCTTCACCAGCCTCTTACCTTCTTGCACCCACTGCTCCTCCTCTTGATGCAGGCCAGCCTTCACCTTCTCCAGCCTCTTAAGCAAAGTCGGGTACTGGAATGTGCCTTCCATGCTGTTGGGAGGGTACTCAAACTCCATTCTCTTGAAGGGCTCGCCCTCCTTCGGTTTTCCTTTCTCACCTTTCGCCGCAATATTGGCCGATATAGTGGCATAGTAGGTGTCGTAGTACCACAAGAACCTCCGCTTCAGCAGATCGCCAAACGGGTCCCAGCTCGCAGTATCCAGGGCGGCGAACGTGGCAGCTGCGTCGTATTGATGGATTTGTGACACCGGAGGCGGAGTCCCAGGAACCTCCACCTCCACCTCAGCTTCAGCAGCAGGAGATGAAGCGCCCGAAGACGTGGCGGTAGGTGACTTCTCTCTCGCATCCTCAGCTCCAGCCTTAGCACTCGGCGAGAAGGAGCCCTCCGTGCGTGCCCGCTTAGGGAGGTGCAGGTAAGATGTCCGATCTGCGCTGATGCCTAGCAAGGTTTCGAGGCGTTGGAGAACGGAGAGGCGGAGAGTTTCGTGGCGGATTTTGGCGACATATGCGGCGGGTAGAGGGGAGCCCTTTTTGGCGGTCTCATAGCCGGGTTCGTTTTCGTAGGGGTTGGAGGACATGAGGGATTGGATGGAGAGGAGGACGGACTCGAGGCCTTGCGCGCTAGACCATTCCTCGCCGGGGTTACTGTCGTAATCACTTAGCTGCAAACAATCTCAACGTCGAGTGTTTAATTCGCTTACCCTCGCCACGTGCCCAGAATAGACAAGCATACCTTGCCTTCAGCGTAAATGTTAGGGTTGAAGCGAGTACGTCCACCATTAGTAGTCATGGCTCGAACATTTGGGCTCTTGATCGGATAATCCTTAGGCATCTTCAATTCGAACTCAAAGAAGCCGTACTCGTATGGTGTCTCGGGTGGACCTATGATGAGGGCGCGGATGTGTCGTACATCGCTATCCTTGACAGCGACGGCAATCGAGATATCGGCATTCTTCTGCACCTGTGAGAGTTCGCGGGTGATGCGAGCGATGGAGCCGGAAGTGTTTGCCATCGTGGCGTTGAACCACTACGGCGATTGCGCGGCCAACGCTCCAAGAGAGCTTGTTGCCCTATTTAGCTGAAGAGTCAGTCCTCCTCCGTGCATCTGCTGAGCTATCTCGTCACGACTCTGGTCACGCTTGCGGGAGAGCAGCACTTGTTTTCGGGTTGTGCAGCTGTATCTCAAGCCCCATTTCAACAGGTAGGCTTTACACTGTGATACCTTCCTGATTCGAACCGGTGATGCTACCTCATACTTGTTGCCGCGAACAGGCACGAAGAGGAATACAGTGCGGCACAGTAACGTACGTACCAGATTTGGTCCACGCCAGCCGTGCTCCTGAAGCCTCTATCAAACTGTCCTTTGCTGTTGGGTCTTTCGGGTAGTGAGTATGGAGGTTATGTTGGCACTTTGTCAAGATAGCGAGACGAAGTGGTGCAAGTTGGAAATATCGGCGAGGTTGTTTGGCGGACAACGAAGAGGTGAAGTCCAGCCAAGCTTGCCAAGCCACTTCCCCGCTGTCGATCATGCTAGCGTGGGGGCCATCTTCACATGCATCTCCAATCGCATTCACTGTCGAGATCACCTCTGTCCTACTACGGAAGCAGCAGCAATGGTAGTCTTCGCCCTCCTCATCATCAACAAGTCGGGCGGCCTGATCTACACCCGTACACTCAGCCCCGGCCTCCAGAAACTCGACTCCAACGACTACCTGATCCTAGCCGGAACCTTCCACGGCATTCACGCCATATCTCGCTCCATCAACCCTGCTCCTCCGCCTCCTACACCACAGAACCCATCGGC